TTCTCGTGTGTATTTACATCGGCTTCAACACAGTTTTATTGGTAATTATTATTATTATTATTAATTATAATAATGCTACATGCATCTCAAGTCAGCCATACATTTGGGAACAAATACATTACTCGGAGTAAATCTTCACTTAGACAAAAGATTGTGTTATATTGTTGAAATACTGGCGTCCAATGTTACGTTAGTACCAGCAGAGGAGAAACGTAGCACTTATGTGCCCTTTTGCCGGGATAAACTGGGTCAAAATGACCTACACACTAGCAAAATTTATAGCGCTAATTTAACAAAAATTTCACTCATTTTTTGAGTGTACAATACTGTGTTACTGTGCTAGGAATAGTTAACTAAATTTTAATTGTGGCCTAATAAGGAAGGTTGGTGTGGACTTGCACTAACCTTAATTTTTGTTTAAAAATTTCGCAAAAAAAAAAACTCAAAAAACGAAATTCTGAACTATCATAATATTTTGTGGTAGCGAAATCCTGCTTTCAGAGCTCGGAGCGATGTTCTACGAAAGTTACGTAATTGGTTCCGCAAAGTTATCCGCGCTTTCCACTTCATGAAGAATCCCAAATATCAAAAATTTGTCGCATTGTCGAGGCGCGGGAAACATTTTACAGCCTCCTACCTGCCCTGTAAAATCTTGGGCTTGGCAAGACGTCCTGACAAATAAGAGAGCAAAGTCAGTTCGCTTTGTTGCTTTTTTCTTATCTTGTAGGGAAAGTTTTAAGGTTATCGCTTGTCATTCAAAAAAATTTGTCTGGGTCAAATTTTAAAAAATTTTGAAGCTCCTACATTTCGGCTTAGGCAGGATATTAATATACATAGATTATGATCATTGTTCATGTTATTTAACTTTTACTGATGAATATATTCAATAGATACTTATAAATTGATTTTTTTGTATATTGTTTGGACGATACTTGAATCAATAACGCAATTTTTTCCAAATTAATATGAACCAAAGCACCATTAAATAAAAAACATTTAATTGACGTTTATCAATATTTCGGTGGTGCAGTTTTTTTTAACGGAAAAAGATTGTTTACTTATTCGACGACAACTCTCGTCATGCACATACATCATAGTTCATGCTCATACACCACAGTTCATGCGCATACACCACAGTTCATGCGCATACACCACAGTTTACGCGCATACACCACAGTTCACGCACATACACCACAGTTCACGCACATACACCACAGATCATGCACATACACCACAGTTCATGCGTATACACCACAGTTCATGCGTATACACCACAGTTCATGCGTATACACCACAGTTCATGCGCATACACCACAGTTCATGCACATGTACCACAGTTCATGCACATGCACCACAGTTCATGCTACAGTTCATGCGCATGCACCACAGTTCATGCACATACACCACAGTTCATGCACATACACCACAGTTCATGCGCATACACCACAGTTCATGCGCATACACCACAGCTAGTTCATGCGCATACACCACAGTTCATGCGCATACTCCACATTTCATGCGCATACACCTCAGTTCATGCGCATGCACCACAGTTCATGCACATACACCACAGTTCATGCGCATACACAACAGTTCATGCGCATACACCACAGTTCATGCGCATACACCATAGTTCATGCGCATACACCACAGTTCATGCGCATACAGCACAGTTCATGCGCATACACCACAGTGCATGCGCATACACCACAGTTCATGTGCATACACCACAGTTCATGCACATACACCACAGTTCACGCGCATGCACCACAGTTCATGCACATACACCACAGTTCATGCGCTTACACCACATTTCATGCGTATACACCACATGCAGTTCATGCGCATGCACCACAGTTCATGCACATACACCACAGTTCATGCACATACACCACAGTTCATGCGTATGCACCACAGTTCATGCGTATGCACCACAGTTCATCACCACAGTTCATGCACATACACCACAGTTCATGCGCATACACCACAGTTCATGCGCATACACCTCAGTTCATGCGCATGCACCACAGTTCATGCCCATACACCACAGTTCATGCACTTACACCACATTTCATGCGTATACACCACATCATGCAGTTCATGCGCATGCACCACAGTTCATGCGTATACCACAGTTCATGCGCATGCACCACAGTTCATGCGCATGTACCCCAGTTCATGCGCATACACCACAGTTTATGCACATACACCACAGTTCACGCACATGCACCACAGTTCATGCACATGCACCACAGTTCATGCGCATGTACCTCAGTTCATGCGCATACACCACAGTTCATGCGCATACACCACAGTTCGGGTTTCACTGACCTAACCAAATTCCGATCACGCGCCAGTTCTAAACATTCCTAAGGCTCACTCCGCATGCTGGTCGCATTCCCCATACAAGTGCCACTTAATCAAATTGCGAAAAGCACAGACCAAGATCCGGGAAAAAATTCCTCGTGCCTTCCTTGCACTCAAAGGGGAAGGTTCAGAGGACGATGGGCTCAAGAATTGAACCTGTCCGACTGAGATCAATTCTTCAGTGTCGTCATGAATGCACTTCCATGCAAACTTGGCGTCGATTTTGACGCATTTTATTTAAGTCGTGGTTATTCAAGCTATATATTTCAGACCAATTCAAAGTTTCTTTTTACTCTGACGCATATTTCATTCCAAATAATTTGCTTCTCTATTATAGGTATAAATCTGACGTCTGCGATCTAAGCGACGCTGAGCACGACTGAAACTTAAGCTTATGTACTAAAATAGTATGAAATGAACGAAATAATTAGTCAATAGATTAATCAATGGGTTAATCAAGAATCAAGTGATAATTAGCCAAGTCAAATGATTGAACAGCTTGGTGTCTCTGTCTCTAATCTAGTGTTAAAATTATTCGTTATTACCATTGAACTGTTTTTTTAATGATAATATAATCTGGAGAGCTACTGCTTCGATAATATTTGGAAATCGATACAATAATGTAGGGGCAACATGGGGCAGCGCGCCCCCCTTTTTTTAAACTAAATTTTTGATGAAATTTTAATTGATACGAGGTGGTTCTTTGTTTTGTTTAAAGGTACAACTAATGAGGAATGTATGATGTGAATTAGACGCCTATATGTTCATTCAATTTTTAATGAAACACTGTTTTGTAAAAAGTGTCAAAATGGGCCCATTGCCCCACCCTTGGGGCAGTGGGCCCATGGGCCTGGGGCAAGGCGCTCACCCATGGTCCCTTTACCACAAATGCATATTTTTCGTTTAAAAACGATAAAACAACACTTTATAGTTAAAAATAAGAAAATGCAATAAAAAATATGACATTCACTCATTCATTAACAACTCAAAAAATCATATACTTAACTTGAAAAAAATATACTCTTGGCTTAACAAATCTATCACTGACGTGAAGAAAAATATTTCATTGACATAAAAATATATATCCTTGACTTGAAAATATATCCTTGCGATAAAAAATTCGTTCTTGACATGAAAAAATGTATCCTTGACTAGAAAAATATATTTAGTTGATCAGAAAAAAACTTCGTTCCAGTTTCGTCCATAATCCAGATATTATGTGCAGAGAATTCGTACCTAATCGTGATTTCAGCCAACACCATAAAAACTCTCATCAACTTTTGGCTCATTGGTGTTGACTGAAATCAACTTTTGGCAAGGCATGAGTCAATAACTCGAAAAGTGTTCATAAATACGCATAACTAGAAAGTAAACCTGCTGCCTTGAGGCGGCAAATAAAAAAATCATGCAATATAAAGTGTAATATGTAATTCAAAAAGCTAGTCATAGTTTGAAAAGGTCATTGAGACAAATCTAATGATGTATAACACAAGACTTCACCATGGGCGCTTTGCCCCGTGACACGCGTGGGCCCGTTGCCCCCACTAGGTATCATTTCAATTTATATCGTGTCAACGTTTTATTTTAAAAGCTAATAGTCTAAACTTGGTCTCAAAATTATCCCTATAAATATTACTTTGAAAAAATAATATACAGTAATTTCATAAGCTTCATCTATAGTAATCGAAAAAAAAATTTCTTTAGCTGCAAAAAAATTTTTATCTGGACTAGAACAGTTATTCGCAAAGAACTTAATAACGCAAACACTTAGCAAAACGTAAATCCGCACACTTCATCCCAGTGAAACTGTCGACCGGCGGTAGAGAACACGGACCAATATCTGCCATACTTAGCGAGAAACCCGCTATGGGCCCATGACCCGCAGTGGGCTCGCTGCCCCATGTTACCCTATACACACGCTTCAAAAATATAGAAATCTTGCAATATATTTTAGAATGATTCACGAATTGATGCCATTGGACCTCGTCCTTCGTTTTTTTCGAGAAAGTTTTGAAACTTTCATGACAGATACATGTATATGCTATTCTCAAAATTCAGCAGTGTGTTCTTAATGGCGTATTTTCCGGACGATTATTGGTCTGAAAACTTTACCAACCAAATGCAAGACCTGCGCAGCACCAAATTGAAGAAGCAATGCAATTTACATTGTTTGCTCTATTTTTTTATTAATTTGCGCAGCTTATTTTTGTTAAACTGCGAATAGGCCTAAACAAAGGTTCTTTAAAACAATTAAAAGAAGTTTCAAACTAACCATTGCTCGAAATAATCCGTAGCAAAATATATGAGCAAATATGTAATCATAGTTTTCGAAACGGCAATTTCTAGCATACAATATATCTTTATTTTTCGTTTTGAATGTTAGGGAAAATTTGCGAAATAACGAATTTAAAAGTCAAGCATTTTAAAAAATAATTGATGTTTTTATCATCTGTTGAAAAGAAAAAGCTAAGTTTATATCCTAATAGGATATACGTTTTTTTCGAAATTTTCCGGTTCCAATATATTTCATTGTTAAAAAAAATGTTGAATTTTTTCAATATATATTGACGATTTAGTTACCTATGTTTCCAAAAAGTTATTAACATGAAGTTTTTCTGTTTGCAGTTGCAAGGAAGTTTATCGGCATCGGTGCAACCTTGTGCCAACTTTTGGGAGCACTCGTGTGGAGGTTGGTTGAGAGAAAATCCTATCCCAGCTACCAAATCCAAGTGGGACATCCAGGAACAACTCAAGTATCAATGTGAGTATGGAAATTTTAATTATAATCATACCTGAAAATAAAATTTAGAGTTGGTTATTAATGTAAAATCGTTAGTAGATTTTTAGTTATGTCAGGCCCTCCAAAATACTCGTAAATACTATTACTATAGTATTTACTATTAAAACTATAAAACACTATTATATATTATTATTATATTATTACTATAAATACTATTATTATAAATTATTCACTTTTTTCACATTTTCATGGCTCTATGGGAACCGAAGAAATACAAAAGGGCATCCAGACCCACGAACTATTAATATACAATTTGTCCATTTCTCTACCCTGCCCAATTTTTTAAAGCACAAACTTTACACTATTATTTTATTTTTAATTTACGGTAATTTCAGTGCCTTAAAGAAGGTTGAAGGTCCCGAATTTGGACAAAAGAAAGAAATAATCTATTGATTTGTGTTTTTTAATATGTTTGGCCACGCATAAACTTCCTTCGTTCCCAACATAAATTGATTGATTTAAATACTTCCTATCAAATGTCATCTTGTTTCTAGTCATCCGACTTCACAGTTTTTTTTTTCTCAGAAAAAATTTAAAATGTTATATTCCACTGAGAAAATTTTTGTTACATTACACCATCAATTGTTGGCATAGCCCATGCAGCTCTCATCCATCGTTGCAAGGTCATATTTTCAAACTCCATGGAACCGCAATTCCTCTTTCCATTTCGGGAGTTTCCTTCCTGGCTGTGCTATTTTTTCCCATTCAAAGCGCGGCAGCAAGTCGCTCCAAGTGGGTGTAATTCAGAGCTCTGCATTTCCTGAACTCAAACCACGATCTACGGACCTCTACATCTATACTTTTTTCCTCTGTTTTTAGCGCATTTTCTCATTTATGGAAAAATGCACTATTGTGCTCGCTATGTCCGTCTCGCTGTTTGTCTGTCTGTCCGTCTGTCCGTCTGTCCGTCCGTCCGTGACTTCAAGTTTTCGTCGACGAGAAAATGCGCTCTTTGTCACTCACTGCAGTGAGTACTGAGTTATATTTTTTCATTTTTTTCCTCCTTCGATTATTTTGCAGTTTTCACTGCGTCTCATCTATCACAAGAAGGTCTCGTCCCACACTTGACTCTGAATAATGCGTTCCTACAACTACATCATGTATCAGAACATGGGTCATCTTCTCCATACTTTATTATGCGTCTAGCTCAGTGTCATTGTTAACTTCGGGAACTGAATTTTTATATGACTTTAATAACTAATTCGCGTTAAATTTAAACTTGTAAAACAGAGCATCAATCAAATGCTATGATTTTTAGTCAACGTGTCTTAATACTTAATTTGGAAAATAAAAACCTTTAAACCGCATTACACTTCAATCAAATGCAATGATTTTTTGTAAACGTGTGTACTACCTAATTTGGAAAATTAAACCTTTAAACAACATTAAACTTCAATCAAATGCATTGATTTTTTTGTCAACGTGTCTACTACCCAATTTGGAAAATTAAACTTTTAAACAGCATTAAACTTCAATCAAATGCAATGATTTTTTTATCAACGTGTCTACTACCTAATTTGGAAAATTAAACTTTTAAACAGCATTAAACTTCAATCAAATGCAATGATCTCTAGAGCAATCAGAAGTGGTTTAATTTTCGTTGTCAATTTTAACAACAAACAAACAAACGCGAAGCTAAGCTAAGAAAAACGTTTTAAAACTGGAACATTTTATTCCTCCCACAATTTTGATGGTGAAAATTATTTATATATTAATAGTGAATGAATTCCATTAATAGCGAATACCCGCTAGAAGTCACAGTAAATCCAAATTGGTCTAGTACACAGTTAGATTCCTTGAAATAATAAGAAATTGTGATCACTAAATCAGGCCCTTAGTAAATAAGATCCTATTGCTATGCTTGCGATATTTTTTCAAAAAGTTGCTGACGCATTTAACATCCGACTCGAATTTTGATCCTAATATTGCTAATTTAATCGGATAGACTCTAAATTCATGTTATATTTTTTGTGACACTAAATAAATTAGTTATTTTGTAAAGGTCTACCGTAGATTAATCGCACAACTAACTCTGTAAAGAAGGCTTTTGAAGCTCACTTGGTGCTTTCCATCACACCATCTAATTCCGCCTACAACTTGTCCCTAGACTGAGCTCAAGCTCTCCAAACTTCTCGAAATGAACTTCCAAAATGAAGCGGGACTCGTCAGGTTTTTTTGTGCTAAGCTTCATGTACTTTTTTCTGTCAGTCTTTGGTTGCCGAGTTTTGATATCTGTGCTGCCTTTGTAGCTGTCAATTTCTTTGAGACTTGAACACACGTGACGGGCTGAACGTGAACACACGTGAGACGTGAACACACGTGAAATAATTAAGTCTAATATTTTCATAACCGGAGACATAGATGTTGCTTAAAAATAAAAAATAATGCAAATTACTGATATTCATGCTGGCGCAGCTAGGCGACTCTACACATCATGTATCTTCACTAAGACATGCTGCAGCAGCTAGACGACTCTACACATCATGTATCTTCACTAAGACATGCTGGAGCAGCTAGACGACTCTACACATCATGTATCTCCACTAAGACATGCTGCAGCAGCTAGCCACTTCTATGAAACGAAATACCGACAGAGACATCCCTGATTTCAGGAACGCAACTTACGGCCATTCATTGGCCACTGATATACCGACTGTAATTTTCAATGTTTCTTCGAACAAGAAGACGTAATGTCATTCATCTCCATCAGCCGACGCAGCTGTCCTACGCCATTTGTTTTACATGGTTACGACCTCGTGCTCTAGCTCGGTGAACTGTAACATTGTTTCGTTTCCTTATTTGCTTTTATGTTGTTTATTCTTGCTTCAAGTTCATATTACGTGTTTCAAGTTCGATCTGTCAATTTAATTGATTTTCTGTGATACGCTTAATTTCTATTGGGTAGTAAATTGTAAAATGCAGACAATTTGGCGGTGGAAAACCATCAGTTTTTCCTCGGCCTCCAAACTTCAATAATACGATAACCTATGCAATCAACATTTCGAGGTATTACTACTACTAGTGAACTGATGAATAACTTTATCTTCGTGTTCACATCTCCCCCTGTTATTCAAGCTACGATCACGTACACTTTTTTAATCATAATGCTGGGCATTGCTTGTAATCATAGGATGCATTTCCTCTTTTGATCTGCTACTTGTAATCCTTCCTTATTTCATGCCTGAAGTAATTAGAACAAAAATTCTGATTTTTTTAATTTCTAAAAACTCTGCTCATTCCATTATTTAGTCAAACATCAGGAAGAAAGCTATTGACGACATGTGTCGCTAGGAAGGAAGCCCTCTGCGCGTTTCTCCCAGGAAATATTTGCCCTCCTTTCAAATCCGGCATCGAAAATATAAAAAAAAGCAAGTGTGGCGCAGCTTTGCCTACTTGCATCAGGAAAAAAATGGAACAACGAGTAGGAAAGAGCAAGTGTAGCTCGGCTCGTTGCCGAATAAATTATGACGCCCGAGGTTTGGTAGAGACGCGCGGTTTTGTTTACAAGCGCTACAGCGTCCGCTGAGAGGCTCGGTGCCGCCGTGCGACGCTAGTCATAAAAATTCTGATCGCCGACGACAACACTCGAGCCGTCCAGCCAACACGCTGGCTTGGATGTACTTGCTGGCAACGAATTTACGAGAAGTTCCTGGGAAGTTCTTATAATTTTGTATTTCTGTTTTAAAAGTCGAATTTACGGGAAGTTCTTCGGAAGTTATTAAAATTTAATATTTCTGTTTTAAAAGTCGAATTTACGGGAAGTTCTTGGGAAGTTATTATAATTTAATATTTCTGTTTTAAAAGTCGAATTTACGGGAAGTTCTTCGGAAGTTATTAAAATTTAATATTTCTGTTTTAAAAGTCTAATTTACGGGAATATGCGACTTTTGAAGCGGAAATATTAAATTATAATATTAATACTATATTAATAAATATTGGAAGCTGATTGCAGGAGTACTCGTAGATTAGGAAATCATCCACTTAAAAAAATATATTCAATAGAATGCCAACTGAGATATGGGGAATCTAAGGAAAGTAAACCAGCAAGGAATTGAATGGGAATTTTCGACTAAGTTTGCTGCGGATTAAACGCAACAAAATCTTGAGTTATTGTTATTTAAACACGTGTTCAATGATCTTTTAATGATAGAGATTCGATCTGAAATTCTCCCGAATACGTGCATTTCGGCAGTAGAATGAATATTATTTAAATTAAATTATTAATTAAACCGTAATTAATGCATATGAGAACCTAATTTTATATTCACCCGGCCTCGTGCCACAATCAAATTTACGAAAGTAATTGCCGAGTTTAGATGAACAATTTTCATAAAATTATTCGGAACAATACTTCAAATAAGTTTGGACTTTGGAATTCCATGTAATGAATATAGCTGAATTAATTTCGAATTTCGCTTTATATTTCATGTTGAGATAATTAGTAACAAAACATGAAGATTATATTCTGACATTAAACTTCATTCCTAATAATTATTATTTAATGATTTGAATACGATATTATTTTGTGTAATTTTGATACCTAGAACTAAATATATAGTTTACTGATTGGGAAAGTAAAGTGGAACCGTTTATTATGCTTAAATATTAACGCATATCTTATGTAATAAAACTCAGGGGAACGATCTGAATTTTTTTCACACTGCCTTTGATTTTTCAAGATTATGTGTAAACAGTAAACCATTCACGTACACTTAGGGAAATAACATTTTTTATTTCCCTAAATTTCCATTTGAAAATTGTAGAATTTCACTCAATTCAATAATCAAAGTGAACAAAAATTTAACAAAAAATGGATCATCACTAAAAAATCCTGTTCAGCAATTTGAAACTATAAACATAGAAGTTCAAAAATGCAATTAAAAGCATTTCCATTTAAGATATGAGTCAAAGTACAATTGGTAACAATTATGAGACAAAATATATTCACTAACAAACAATTC